TAACTCAGTAGAATAAGCGCTTGCCTGGCAAGCACAAGGGCCTGAGTTCAATCCCTGGTTCTGAAAAAAAAAAAAAAAAAAAGATAGGCCATTCTCTAGTTTTTTGTTTTTATTTTTATTTTTTTTACTTTTTACATTGAAAAATTATCTGCTAAGCTTAAGAGCAAAAATTAATTGAAGTCAAAATCAGACTGACTATACTAATGAGGTATATAAATACTTTAGGAAATAAAACCTAAAATTGTTTGTACTGTACATCACAAGTCTGAAATACAATCATACCCCATCACCAACTTCGTGGACCCACTGTCAGAAGAGAAAAGCTGTGATTAACACAGACCAGAAAGAAAGATACACTTAATGACTAATTCATGTTGTAGGTACCAGGTCTGGCATTTAATTTTTTTCATGTACTTACTACAAGGTCTACAGGGTTTACAGGGTCTCACTAGGTAGATCGGACTCATACTGATTCTCCTGTTTTCAGCTTCCCAAGCGCTGGAATTATAGGCACGCACCACCATGCCCAGTCTCAGTGTGCCCCTAGGGTGGGGCTAGCACAGCACATGGGGGATCAAACCCTGGCCATTGTGCTCTACCTAAGGAGGCACTTAATCTGCTGAGCTGTCTAGCCAGCTCAAGGTCTAACATATTGCTGCATAAATTATTTGGGGTTCCAGGGTAAGTTATATAAATTAAGTAAGTGAACTTTCAGGTGCTACAGTAATTATAACTATATAGACATTTTACAAACAGTTTATCATTATATCTGAATGGAATGCACAGATTAATTCCCCTCAGCACTGGTGAAGAATTCACCTAGTCTGGTGGTGGCGAGCCTATGGCACACATGTTGTAGCAGGCTGTCTACATCACTGAGAGCACTAAAAGGTTTGCTAGCATGGCCTTAATTCCATCTACTCTGCACTGAGAGATTATCATCTGCTAGCTAGGAAACGTCTTCAGGAAGACTGATTATATCAAATAAAAAACAACAGGGAAAGATACAGAACTTGCACTGTATTATAGTTGAACACTTATGAAACAACAAAATCATTTCACCTCTTATAACTAGTCTTATTCAGACTATGAAAATTTCTTACACTTGAGATATCAGCAAATTAAAAAAATAATACTCTCCTGGAAAATGCATTTTTTTAATTTAAAGGCCAATCTGTGGATAACTGAAAGATGTAACATCTGCCATCAGATGAGGAAAGGTGGCAAGCGCCGAGACCCTGGCATGCACACTGCGGAGTCTCGCACCATGAATGTACTTGACGACGTTGACGCTGAGCCCGTGCCTGGAGATGGTCATCAGGACCTCCCCTGCGCTCTTCCGCCACGGCAGGTTGTAGGGGGGGCACCATGAGGTTATTGCACTGAACAGAAGCTGGAGGTCGTCCTTCTGCGCCAGCTCCTCCGCTGGGGAAACAAAGCTGCAGAGTTTCACTAAGATCTAAAACACAAAAGGAAATACAAGTGCAGTAAGAAGGAAGTGAATAAACGGCACAGGAAAGAGAAGTGCTTCAAATGGAAGATGGCTAAATACTACTGGAAAGTTAAGCGTAAGTACTGGGTAATGTCTTTCAACTCACCAGGATCAATGATCTTAGGCAATACTGAAAAGACACCTACAATTCAGAAGTGTGTCAGGCTAGCGCAGCAAACCAGCTCTACTAATCTGGCTTACAGAGAATACTTACTGTCTTCTCCTTGCCATGGTGGGTTTTTTCCCCCATGGTGTTTTT